GCATATTACTGAAATTGAAAGTTTTTTTGTATCTACCAAGAACCTTACATGTAAAACCTGTAGGACATGTTTTCTAAGTGAGTTTTGTTGACACTTTTTTCTATGGGCAATCTCTTTTTTTGTAGTTCTTTGTAAGACTATTCAAAAGTGGATCAAAGTTTGGTTATAAACTATAACTTTTGAAAACTATGAACAATTTTATCTTTTGTAGACTTTTTTTTAAAATTAATTTCTGTGTCTAAATGTTATTTTGAGTGCTCTTTTCAAAAATAGGTATAGAAAGAATTTAGAATTGTATGAGGATTTATGTCAAACTTGGAAAAGTAAGTGAAAAATACTGTTTATGAAAACATTTGGTATTGAAAAAAGCACATCTCCTATTTCAGTATGGTAGTTTGAGTTTTGAAAAGGTACTTGACTAGAAATAACATGCAGACTAAAACTAAAACCTTTTTCTGATACGTCACAAGGCCTAGAGTTTTAACATCAGTGGCACCAAATTTTTCTGTTTGTTTATTGTAGGTTCCCTTTTATTGAAAGTTTCTAAATATCTTTCTACCTCTATATCTCTGTACACATATTTTTTTGTATTATCACAGTGGTAATAGTAATTATAACTAAGTTAAAATTGCACGATTATAGCAAGTCAAAGTCCCCTGGTTGTATGTTACTTTAGTTGAAACCTTGGCTTGTATAAAGTTGAGATGACATATTTGGTCCTAGTAAAGGGCATATTACAAATTACTGTAAATGATTATTAGAACTGAAAAGAAGGGGAAGTAACTGATGTAAAAACAACAACATGAATTATTATATGATGGAAGCAAGATTATCAATTATTACTATTAATCGTGTGTAAACGAATCCTTTAGAAGATCTTTTCCTTAGTGATTCACTGCAGCTGGTTTTTATCATACTTGCAGCCTTGTCTGCATCATTGTACTTTGTTTTTTTGTGCTACATGGTTTTCCAGGTAGTGAGAAACATCAGTTTTAAACGTGCCACTCTACCCAGCATGAGCAGCACTCGGAGATTATTTTATGAGGTAATATTTTTCGAGCATAATTTACTGTTTGGAAATTTGTCCTAGATAAAAATGAATGATAAGAAACATTTAATGAACTTGTACTCATCATTACACAAAACTTCAAAAACAAATTTTTTGTGTATAAATATTCCAAATAACTGCAGTTTTTAGAGGTTACTATTTACTATTAAAATGTGTCAATATCTACATCACTAGTATTTGGATGATATATAGACAACAGTTCATTATATCCTTCAGTTGTCCCTTGTGTAAGTTAAAGTTTAAATTCCTGATGAAAGCACATTTTTTTTAATCTTAATGTAGGAATATTTTGTGTCTAAAAGTATTGTTACATACCCTTTCCAAAAGGATCAGTTTTTGGTGGCTTTGTACTATCTACGAAATGTGAAGAGTGTCAGAATGTGGTTTTGATATATGTTAGTCATGGTTGTCACGCGACTTGCTAACTTGCACATTCAAAATTGTTTTACAATAACACGCTCAACCCTCCGTGCACTACATGACATTAAAAAGTAATATCGCTTTGGATTTAAGAGGCCAAATAAAATTAGAAATAATATGACAGAATTTTAAACAAAAAGAAT